ATCCTAAACCCTGTGTCTCACCCTCTAATTAGCTAATCTTTTCGCCATTCACCCCGGTGAAGTCCTCTTATCTTCATACAGGTGTTGTCTCCCGTGTAGGGTCAAAGTCCTGCCACCAGACACTTCTGGCAACATTCCAGGACTCCCGGGCCCCCCAAGGGTGGTCTCGGAGGCCCGGCATCTCAGGACTCAGATCCTGAGATCCCACACCCTATAAGCTATGTCACTTAATCCTTACCATTGGTCAAATCTGGATTCTCCTCAACCCTATGAAAGGGGCATACTTTAGCCCATTTGACAGAAGAACAGCTTTCGCTGGGACCCTTCACAGGCTCCCCCAATAAAGCCATCTCTGTGGAACCGCCAGCACCTCTCCTTCTCCTCTCTCGCCGTCTGCTGCAGCCTCAGCCAAGGGACACCTACCTAGAAAGCAGAGCTGAAATCCTAATAGACCCTGCAATCACTATAAGAGTTGACAATCACCAAGCTTGCTATGGGGGTTGGCCCACAGCATCGGCCTCGAGCTAGCTTAGTTTGGGCACCCTGTCCCCTTGGGGACTGAGCTCCCAGGCTAACTTCACTGCTTGATAATAAGGCCAGATAAGAGGCTTTATTAGCCAAGGGCAAAGGAGGCTCCCTGGCTGCCCTGCTCCCCTCTGCCTGAGGTGCTGAGAGCTCTGCAGCCCCTGCTGCCATCCCATCTGCCCAGGGCAGCACAAGAGCCCTGGCCTTGGGGCCCTCAAGAGCTGCTCCTGCTGCAGGCCCAGGGCCCATGCCAAAGCTGGGGCAGCCACAAAGCTGTGCCCATTTCTGTTCATTGCTGCTCTGATGGGGATGGATCCTCAGCCACTTAGAGGTTGATGATTAATTTTACTCCTCCAGAGGCCTCTTCTTTCCTGAGCTCTTCACTTCAGGAATTCAGTGAGAAAAGCTCATAAACATGTGTGCAAAACACCCGAACAAGAAAGGCTGTAGGGAATACTCGAAGTTTTCAATTCTTCTGTGGTAAATTAGTCACATTTTAGAAGTGTATTTAAAAAGAATATACTATATTGAAAACAATGCAGAGAGAATTGTTTTGTCCTGTGTTCTTTTCCTGTTTAGAGATTGGTATCAGCAATGTCCAATTGATATTGACCCCAAGCATCTTCTAATGCAGTTTGAACAGATATGAAAATCAAGACTCTTCATGGCTGCCAATCAATAACACTTTGTCCCCATCCCCTCCCTACCATTTCCCTCATCCAACCCCTGGCACTCCTATGGATCAGGAATGGTGTGGCCAGCAGGAGCAGGGCAGTGATTCTTCCCCTGTGCTCAGCACTGGTTGGGCAGCATCTCGAGTGCTGTGTCCAGTTCTGGGCCCCCCCAGTTTAGGAAGGACAGGGAGGGGCTGTAATGTGTCCAGGGAAGGGCAACAAGGCTGGTGAGAGGTCTGGAGCACAAGTCCTGTGAGGAGTGGCTGAGGGAGCTGCAGTTGTTTATCCTGGACACAAGGAGGGTAAGGGCAAAGTTTGGACTTGATCATCTCCAAGGTCTTTTCCAGTGTGGCTGATTCTGTGATTCTCTGAAACCACCCTTGGAGCAGTTGCAGGATGAGCCCTGGGCCTCCTCTAGAGAAGCTCCAGCAGCCCAGATCCCACAGCTTCTCCTGCCAGCCTCAAAGCCCATCCTGTCAGTCCTGCAGAGCCTCTGCAGCTCCTTCTCACTGCCCAGAACAGAGAGCCCCAGAGCCAGACACAGCAGCCCAGATGTGCCCCCCTGGCCTGGGGTGCCTCTGGCAAGGGAGCTGCACCATGCACTGCAGGAGCCTGCAGACAATTCCTGCAGCACTTGTAGGAGGATCCTGCTCCCCAAGGGTTGTTCTCATGGGGCCAAGTAAGGAACTGCAATGGGGAGAGAGGAAAGGCCAGAGAGGAAAGGGCAAACAGGGATGGGCTGTTTGCAGGGCAGGGAAACAGGGGTGGGCAATAGCAAGATATTTATACCAGGGAAAGAGGAAAGAAAGCAAAGGTGAAGCCAAGGAGATGCTCAGGGCAGTTTGGGGGTGGCTGCCAAGCAGCCCTGGCTCTGAGCAACAGCGTCTGCAGTGGGACAGAAAACTCCCAGCTGATGGGAACAAACTTTCTGGCTGACTGCAGAGGCCAGGACAAAGCTGAGTGGTTTCCCTGGTGTCCCCCAGCCCTTGCTGGCCCCAGGGGCTGATGGCATTTGTGCTCCCTCAGGTTCATGTCCCCATACCCATGGCCAGAGGCTGCCCACAGGGGTTTCTGTGCTGAGCATTGGCCTGGGCGTGTTCTTGAGAGAACCTGGGCAAGGAGCCTGGAGCACCCAGGGCCTGGGCTGAGGCGTCAGCGCTGCCCCAGCAGTGCCCATGGCCTGTCCCTGCTGCAGCCCCGGCACTGCCACCCCCAGGGCTGTGCCCAGCCCCAAGAGCACTCAGGCCCTACAGCAACACCAGGGCCACCAGGGCAGTTGCGCAGGGCCATGGCAGCAGCACTGGCAACACCAAGTGCTGCTGCTGCTGGGCACAGCTGCTGTGCCAGCACTGATCTGCCCCCAGCTCTGCACACAGACATTGCTGCTGCAGCTCCAGAGAAGGCAACAAAAGGGCATCTCTGCAGAAAACTTTGCTGAGAAATCCTCTAGTTTCTTTTAAAGCCATCGGGAGTGCAGCCCCTCGTTGAGACAGTCTGTGGCCACAGGGAAGGTGCATAGAAACAAAATGAGAAATGGCACAAACAATGATATTTCTTTGTAGGCAATATGAAAAAACTAATACAAAGGAAAAAAAAAAACCAAACCACAACCAAAGCAACAAGAAATATGAAAGATATCTTTAATTAGAAGGGATTTGCAGAAATTTGCCATCAGTTTAATATTCCTGAAAGCATCCAGTCATCAGTCTCCATACTGCAGCCTTGAGCTCATGGTTCCTCTGGCTGTAGATAAGGGGGGTTCAGGGCTGGAGGCACCACTGAGTGTAGAACAGACAGGGCCAGATCCAGGGAGTGGGAGGACATAGAGGAGGGCTTCAGATGTGCAAATGCTGCCGTGCTGATGAACAGGGAGAGCACGGCCAGGTGAGGGAGGCAGGTGGAAAAGGCTTTGTGCTGTCCTTGCTCAGAGGGGATCCTCAGCACGGCCCTGAAGATCTGCACATAGGAGAAAACAATGAAGACAAAACAACCAAATGATAAACAGGCACTAACAACAATGAGCCCAAATTCCCTGAGATAGGATTTGTAGCAGGAGATTTTGAGGATCTGGGGGATTTCACAGAAGAACTGGCCCAGGGCATTGCCATGGCACAGGGGCAGGGAAAATGTATTGGCCGTTTGCAGCAGAGCATTGAGAAAGGCAGTGGCCCAGGCAGCTGCTGCCATGTGGGCACAAGCTCTGCTGCCCAGGAGAGTCCTGTAGTGCAGGGGTTTGCAGATGGACATGAAGCGGTCGTAACACATGATGGTCAGGAGGGAAAGCTCTGCTGTAGCATAAAAAACAAAAAAAAAAACCTGGGTAGCACATCCTGTGTAGGAGATGTTCCTGGTGTCCCAGAGGGAATTGTGCATGGCTTTGGGGACAGTGGTGCAGATCATGCCCAGGTCGCTGAGGGCCAGGTTGAGCAGGAAGAAGAACATGGGTGTGTGGTGGTGGTGGCTGCAGGCTACGGCGCTGATGATGAGGCCGTTGCCCAGGAGGGCAGCCAGGGAGATGCCCAGCAAGAGGCAGAAGTGCAGGAGCTGCAGCTGCCGCATGTCTGCCAATGCCAGCAGGAGGAAGTGTCTGATGGAGCTGCTGTTGGACATTTGCTGTGGCCGGACATGGGGACTTGTTCATGGAGAAAGGACAGTGAAAAGTTAGAGGAGATTTCTATAACCACAATCAAAGCCATTTCCCATACACTGTCCCGTTTAACACACACAGATACACTTTGTTCAAGAGTTCTGTGGTTTTCTTTTTAAGCTCCCCCCATGTCTCTCCCAGTATTCTTGGATATCAGAAACCCTCAGCATTTCTGCTGCCTCCAGGGAGAACAGAGTGAGTTCTCTTTCACAAAGTGATGAGTGAAGACTGATGAGAGATGGTCTGTCACTCTGACCTATTCTGAATTTTAAAGGGCTTTAAACTTTAGCAGGTGAAGGATGATCAACTTCCCATGTTTTTCCCAAAAATGCCCCAGGTACTGCTGAGAGAAGATGTATCCACCACAGCCCTGCTCCACATTTGTAGGAGGACGCACGTTGCTCATTTCACCAACCCAACAGCATTTTCAGTGTCAGAACACCTCTGTCTTTCCCCATCAATCTCATAACTCAGAGACGCTCTAGGACAGGTTTGCACCCTGGACAGAAGCTCCCAGCTTGGACTGAAATCTCAGGGAGACTCCCAAGTATCCTTATGATGGCATTGGATGAAGGGAGATGCAGCTCCTTCCCTGGCTGCACTGACAGCATTGCCCAGAGCCAAGCACTGGGGACAGCGTCACCCTGAGCCAGCTGTGCCCCCTGCCAGAGCCCCCAGTGCCAGGCACCTGCTCCCAGCCCTGTGCTCTGCAGAGGGAACTGGGCCCAGGGCTGCAGAGCTGCCCCACGGCTCTGCTGCAGCTCTGCCTGCACAGGAGGGGCTGCACGCCTTGGAGCCCCGGCCCTGAGGTCAGAGGCTTGGCTGGGGGTACAGAGGGAGGGGGCTTGTTCAGAGTGAGGGGCTGCACTGGAGGGGATCCTGTGGACATCTCTAAACTCTCCCTGCCACAGCATTGCTGGGGTTTGTTTTCTCTTATTGCCTGTTCTTCTCTCTGCTTCCTGGAGATTTTCCTCCTGCAGGTGTTTCCCTGTGCCTGATCTCTCCCTGCCAGCACTCATAGACCCCAAATCTCTGTGCACTCTCCTTGGCCCTAGAGAACCCTGTCTGTTTGCAGGGCACTGGCTGGGGGCAGGTTCTGTTTGCAGCTTGGAGAAAGGACAGCTCAGACTGAGCCTGATGGCTCCAGCGAAGCTGATGCTCATGCTGTCCACGGGCAGAGTAGCTGAAAGCACGTGTAAATTAGGGATCTCCTGTGAGCCTATTGATCACTAAAAGTAACAGTTCAGATGTCTCAGGCACTTGTCAAAATTCATAATTAATAATTAATAACCAACCTTTAATATTTATCCCCCTTTTCCAACCTTTCTCCAAAAGCAGGAAACTGATTTAAAAGTCTTAGGATATTTTCTCATTTTTGTTAAAATCCTTGATTAGGAAATATTCCATGACTGATCAGAGCCCCTCAGCATGTCAGAGCTTCATTAGCATTTCACCTCCCCGGCACCGGAAAGACTCAGAGTTGTACTCACGGAGTCTGTAGGCATTGGGATGTTCCAGCTTTAGGAGATCACTCCAGGAGCTGCAGCTGCATTGTCCTGCAGCCAGAGGTTCCTGTGCCAAGGGCTGGCAGTGATTGTGCCCCAGGCACTTCTCAGCACCTTCCCAGCCCTGACTGATTGAAGCTCTCTGTGCCTCTCTGCAGTGCCCAGGGTGGCTGCATGCAGTGCCCCAGCCCTGCTGGACTGGCAGAAGAGCTGCTCATCAAGAGAAATGTGCTTTTGAAGCTCTTCTTGGTTACCAGGAGCTGCCTCTGGGCCAGGAGCCCAGACCAGCTCAGCAGCACAGACACAGCACAAGGACTTTAATGAGCCTCTGGGGCTTTGTGCTCAGGCCGTGAACATCAGTCCCTGAGAGGGAGCTGAAGAAACCTCTCCAGAACTCCAAGGCAGAATCCAACTCCAAACTTTCTTGGACTTTTAATGGATCCCACTGAGGGACACGACTGAGAAAGTGTCCCCAGGCCCCAGGAAGAGCAGAGAACTGGAGGCAATGATTACAGGTGGGGACAAAGAGAAGCCAAGTCTTGGTGCCCTGGGGCACAGCAGGGTCTGTGCCACCAAGGGCTTTGAGGAGACACCTTGTCCTGAGGCCCTGGGGCTTCCTGGTACAGCCCCAGCCAGGCTGGGCACTGTCAGCCCCTTGTCCTGCCCTCAGCATCCTCCCCCACCCACATCCCAGTGGCCTCAAGGATCTGCTGGAAGGAGTCCCTGGGGAGCCTTGCTCAGGAATGGCCCTGGGGGCTCCTTCATGCTCCCTGCAGGGACTGCAGGTTTTTCAAAGGACTTGGGGTTTGGCTTTTGCCTAAGAGTCTCTGAGATGTTTGTGCAGTTACAGCCTCCAATTATCTACTGTAATGAGTCCCTGGAGAGGTTTTGTCAGTAACAACAGTCATTGGGGCTCACGAATGCTTCAAGGTACTTCAGTTATTTTAAGCTACTTGGTGTTTCCATTTTGATACTGACTCTGTGAGAGGTTTGTGCAATCATGGCCCCAATCATCTGCTTTAATGAGTCCCTTGAGAGCTTTGTACTGACACTCAGTGGGGCTCATTAATACTTTGAGATACTCAAGGTTTTTAAGGTAATTTGGATTTTCCTTTCCACACTTTGTCTCTGAGAGGTTTTTGTGCCGTCCTGGCTTCTAGTTCTCTTCTCTAGTCCATGAGGAGCCTGTGTTGGGGATGGACCCCAGTGGGACCCATTCATGCCTTGAGACACGTTGGGTGTTTCCTCTGACTTTGACTCCTGGAAAGGTTTGTGCTATCTCCTTTCAGGCTCTGAGTTTACAGGGCTCAGCTCCAAATGCACCACGGAGCTCATTAGGATCAGGCAAGTCCTGACAAACTACGGCTCTGCCTTAATTCTCATCCTCTGTTGCGCAGTTCTTTAGGAATTTCTTTTTATATAGTTATTGAGAAATATTTCAAAGAGGCTCTAATAAATTCACATTTCTGTTTTAAGGGTATGTTGTTCTCTTTAGAACAGAGGTAATTGCAGCATTCAATGACTGATTGACCCAGGGACTCTCCTCAAGAGGTGTGGACTGATCAGAGAAGCTGTGATTTGAGATATGACCCAGTGTGGGCCGCCTTGCTTCACATTCACCAACCCCATCCTGTCTGTCCTCTGTCACTTGGGGCCAGCTTTGCTTGGAGAACTGGCAGCACTCAGGCAAAGAGGGGTTTTCTTCTTTTATTTTAATAATCTAATACTCCTAAGCTCCCTGTTGAAAACAGACACTCTCCTCAGTTTTGTGCCAAGCCCAAGTGCCAGCAAGATCACTCCAGACCCTCCCTGGGCAAGCTCTGAGGGTATGTGGAGGCCCAGGGCCTACCATCAAAGTCTCAGTCTCCCAGCCAGGAAGGGCTGGTCCCAAGTAAGAGGAATAGGCTTTTAGGTTAGGGTGAGATGGTTGCTTCTTCCATAGATCTTTGCAGGCAAATGCTGATTTTTGTAAAGTTATGTTACTCATTGGCCCATTAGCCTAATTACCTTACTTCAAGCCCTATTGCCCACATTTGGTTAGTCCCTAGAATGTTCTCTCTGTGTCCCTTCATTGGCCCTAGTTTACTGCATTCCTCCGCCCCTGTTTCCCTATTGGTTGACTCTACCCTAACAACTTTTTTGCAACCTTTTCCCTTATATCCATTGGACCCGGACCCTCAGCTCCACCCTAAATATTTCATATAAAACTCTGTGCCCTCAGCCTACACCCTGTCTTTGTCTCTGGACCAGCTTTGTGGCTGGTTCCTGTACCAATAAACCCAGTTTGCAGGAGATCATGTGAAGACCCATCCTGCCTATTTTGTTGGCTTTCTAAGGTAGCAGTGAGCTTTGGGCTCGTGAGTGCTGTACACTCCAAGGGCCTCAGTAGTGCCATGGTGCTACACATGGCGACTGAAGAGGGATCAGATTCATTGAGGTCCCTGTGAGCATCTCCAGCAGTGATCCTGCCAGCCAGATGTCGCTGGAAGCTGTACACCTTTGGGTCAGCCACAGCACTGAAGTGAGACTTGAGTTTTATTGAGTCTCACTGAAGTGAAGGTTGACAATCCCTTCAACATCCATGGGACCAAATTCAGTGAGAGCCCCACAAGCCCCACTTCGGCTGAAGATTCTGCCTGTGAGACTGAGAGTGAGTGACTGAGTGGCAGAAAGCTAACAGGGGTTTGGGCTTTTGATTTTCTGCTCCTGTGGCTGGGAATTCCCTCTTCCATTGGGGGCAGCTATGAGAAATACTCAGTACCAAGCTGAAAAAGATGGTTTTGTTAAGTTTTGGAGAGTTTTAAATTTAGAGGGGAGTTCATTTTCTGAGGGGAGTTTAAAAGGTATTGTTCATGGTTATTTGAGGAGCTTCCTGATATCTCTGTTGATTCTATCTATCAGTTACCATTTTGGGATGCTGTCGGGGAAAAGCTTTATATTTTACAAACACAAGGGGTTTTAAAAGTTGGCAAATTTTATCTGTTGTTTCCTTCAATTCATAGGATCATTTAATGAGTTCTTGTTTCCAACCCTTTGTCCTGGTTTATTCAACCCGCCTCCCACATTCCTGAACCCACATTCCCTAAAAACAGGACAGGAGATGGAGCCCGCCCTTTGGCACAGACAAGCCATCTGCTGCCTGCCATCTCCTCTCCTTTTCTGTCCTCTCCTCAGGGTGGTAGTGGCCATGCTGCCCTGAGATATTCCCTTGCCCACATTCCTTCATCCCCTGATCCTAATCCCCCTTCCTATAAATCACAAGATGGCAATGCTCCTGTGAGAGAGAAGATTCCCTCCCACCTTCATCTCCATTTCCCGCCTTTGCTCTGGGTGCCTCCCCTGTGACAGGTCCCACCTTGACATCAAATTCCGCCCCTGTGTCGGGTCCCTCCCCTGTCACGGAAAAGCTCCTCCCCAGCACAGGCTCCACCTCTCCACTTCCGGGCCTCTTCTCCAGT